CATAATGGGTGGCGAGCTACACTGCAGTCAGTGCTGCAGTGGGGGACGACTCACAAGATAGAAAGCGGGAATGTCATTATATCAAGTAAAAGTAACACAAAGCTTTCAGGTTACGCCGTCTCAATTGAACGGCATCGCGCAAAGTGGTATTCAAGTATACATGCACTGACAGCCACAGTTCAGAACGTAGGGATAAAGTCCTGGATCCTGTCCCTAGCATCCTGCGCGATACACTCCGCAATCCACGTCAAACTCCTAATCTCCTGTTCCTTCAACTTCAAATAACTGTAGAAAATCGCGTAATGGAACTGCTGTAAGAACGCCTGCTTGTTCAAGTGCACCTCGTAAAGGAAGAAACGATCCTCCAATTCCGCTGCAGACCCTGAGTCGTCATCGAGGTCCCCCAAGAGATGGGCTGTGCTCGAGTTCCCGCCGCCAGTGTTCGCACCTCGACCGCTTGTGGCGTTGTTCGAACTGTCGAAGAACGCACGATACTCGGGGATATAATCGCATGCGAGCTTGACTTGCTCGATATCATCCGCGCGCGCAAGGGAGTTGTTCCCGTCAGGGAAGAGTCTTCCAATCGTAGGGAACAACTTGGCACGTTGTTCCTTGCTGAGTTCGGTGCCGAAGGAGTTAATGGTGATATTGATACTCCGTCGGTCTGCTTCGAATGCGAGGATACGTGTCATGATTTCTGCCGTTGGGCCACCGATTTTCTGGCAGAAGGCGGTGAAGTCTTCGAGGTATGCTTTGTAGAGGGTATTACGAATGATTTCGATGTTGAGGTCGTCCAGGTCCGAGGCGGAGAGACAGTCACGGAAGTATGGTGCTATACGAGATCACCAGGTCTGAGACGAATAAGGTTACAGAGATATTACATCAAGTGCGTACCTATTGGTGTCTCGACAAGAACGGTGTGGTACAACTCCTCGACGTTGCTAGCAACACATAGGGCTGGAAGGGTATCGAACACGCCTAGTGGGTGACACCGTTCAAGCAACTCCTGGGTATTACGTTCATGTACAGTTCCTGTAACAAGCAAAATGACATTGTCGATCATGTACCCGTACCTGCAAGCGGTCGTACGTAGGTTGAACATTCCATTCCCCTCGATTCAGTTGCATTATGCAGTAACTCACGTTATGTAGTCAAGGAACTTGGCCAAGGGCTCCACTGCATTATTCCGGATGTAATTGAACTGGTCGACGAGAATCTGCGTGGCCTTGTCCGCAATGGTAGACGTCGAGATGGGAAGTGTTTCGTTTGCAAGGAAGTTTCCATAGTCTGTCGCAGACAGCTGTGTCCGGAAGTCTGCAATGACACTTCAGTCATCCATATTCACCCACGAAATCTTGTGACCACACACCCTCAATGGTCTCGCATTGCGTTAAGTTCGCATATTGCCCTTGGGTGAGGAGACCAGCCTTGTACCCCCTCAATATTCCCTCCAGGAAACCAGCATCAACCTATTGGCACAAGTTCTGCGTGAGTTAAGCCAATGTATAATCCTCTGGATGATAGAGCACGCGCACGTTGTACAGCAGGGCCTCCATGTCGACAACAGAGATGTTGATGTCGTCGCCGCTGTGCTTGGCGAATCGCAGTTACATGCGTTAGACGCCCACTCCCGCCCCGCGTCATCGAATGAAGCAACGCTTTCTCACGCTTGTTTGCGCCTGTAGAACTCGGTAACTTTGACCGGTGTTGCACGTTCTCTGTGATTTTTTCTGTCCAAATGGATAGGTTTCGGTCATTTGATACACACGGATACTGGACTCTGAATCGTGCCATGTTAAATAGCTAGACTGGTTGCCCTTGGACGACTCTCTGTTCAGGTAAAATGTCGACCTCGTCCACTCATCGAATCCCTCACACCGAGGAAGAGGGTGCCACGATAGTTGGCACACTGCAACGGGTCGATTCTGGCGAAACGAACGGCCGTGGAATTGCATTGGTACGTCTGGAATTTCTCTTACGGCAATGGTTGTTCATCAGCTTACTTCTTCCTTCAGATATGTCATGGTTCTCTTGGGTGAGATGGTTTTGCTCCCTCATTGGATGAGATTGTCATTGACAAACTTGCGCAGACACAAGGACTACCTCTTTCAGAAGAGACTGGCACATCGTCTGCCCATAGATTCATTCCGATTCGACTTCCGGTATGTCCTAAATACCCAGCTCTGATTCATGCCATACCAAACTCCGCATAGCGGAAACCACGAATCGACAGGGTCCTGGCGTACTGGCGCATTTGGAAATGACGTCGTAGACATAGAAGTCGTCGTAGAATACCTGACGAAGCATTTTGGCTATGTTGTTCACCTTATCGTCGGACATTCTAGAGGCGTAGTTAGCGCCATTAGATGGATGTGCACCTCAAAGTACAGTAAGAATGTTAGAGGCTTCGTCAATGTCTCAGGGCGATATAGAATGGAGGTGAGTCGTTGGTCCATTGCTTCCTAGGATTGGCTCACCTTTTAGAATTCAGAAAATATATGGTAGGCACCATTGCAACGTTAATATCGTAGAGCTCACATGATCTCGAAATATAGATTCTTTACCTGAACAGGCGAGGGAACAACTGAATAAAGAGGGTTTTTATATCACTCGGGCAGTTGTAGCTAGGAAAGAGTTGGTAATCAGGTGGGTCTGAAGGGTACGAACAGGATGAGCTTTCGTGACATATGAGTGTAGGACTACCACTGAAGAGCTTTACGAGTTCATGACCTTCGACCCTACACCCGTATGGGATCAGTTTCCGAAGGAGACACATGTTCTAACCGTACACGGCATGAAAGACCGTATCGTGCCTCCGTGCGTGCTTCTTTCTACTCAAACGGGTCACCCGACTGACCGTCCTCGACGCTACCACAGTTACGATGCTACTATCTACGCTCGTGCATTTGGAGCACGATCACCAGGTACTCACAATCTATGCTACAATGAAGAGGCAGACCACAACTTCACCGGTGTAAGTCTCTTCACCGTATCTGTTATCGAATTGAAACCAAACCGAGAGACAGATGTCAGACTTCGTAGTGGATACGATCTTAGAATGGTGGTCGCACCTTCAACACAACCAGCTACAGACGGGTGTATGGCATACTGGAGTCAGAGGGAAGCTGTAATGTGACAATTCAAACGTCCAAATGCCAGTCGTTGCTGTGTCCGTCAGCAATGACATTATTATTGATGATATCCGGCGGACCTTGGTCAGGCACGGTCTCATGTGCGGGTAACGGGCAAGCATTTCTTGAATTGTTTCATAAGCATTTGTTTATCCAATGGCTTGTGCTCTTCAATCCTCAATGTTGGCTCACATTGGTCATGACAATAGATATTCAGGAGGGTTTTTAACATTCACTGGAGCCTGGCACAGTGTCACTGGACTTGGAAATACTTCACATATCCTTGATGTGTCGTGGTAGATGAGGACGGTTGTGAAACATCCACCAGTCACAGGCCAGGTCAAGCCTCGGAATCCGGGGTATCGAACCAAGCGCTCATGTGCCCGTTTCCCGCAAATCCAGCTTTGAGCTGAATAGGTTGCCCGAACTGTGTCCCTCGATGCTTTTCCTCTTCACGGTCTCAACCGCAGATGCACTGTGAACAGGGGAAGCCTACGTTCTAATCGTCTATGGTATCGACCATATCGACAACTATGACGACTCCTTGCAGTCAATGGCATCTACTCTCTGAAGTATTCAGGGATGTTCGCATGCGCACCTGTATTGTCTGAGCCAAGTCCAGAAAGAAGGCATGGTATTGAATGTCTCTGATATCGCGAGTCAATGCAGGAGTCAGGTTTTACTTCACTCGCTTATTGCAAGTCTCAAATCGTCGTATATAGGGAGACGAGCGAAACTAGGCAGCTCACCATTTACTCACACTTGACCAACACCAGTCAGTCCCACCTACGCTCCCTCAATGCCCTCCTATTTTGTGACAGGTTCGAGCAGAGGCATCGGCCTTGGGATAGTTACACAACTGGTAAGACACCTTCTGTTACTTGAGTTCTCGTGCTCACACTGCCAATCAGTTACAGGACCCAGAGAACCTCGTCATTGCTACTGCCCGTTCTCCGGCCACATCTCAAGGCTTACAGGACCTCGCCGCCAAGTACCCCAAAGACCGCTTAATCTTGCTCACTCTCGACATATCTGTTCCCGAACAAATTGTCGCCGTTGCGGAGGAAACTAGCAAGCTGCTTCCAAACGGCTTAGATTATTTCATAAGTAATGCAGCAACATCAAACCAACTCCTAACAACCTTTGAGGACCTGTAAGTTACGACGCGTTTTTGCTTCTTCGAGATAGCTAACCCCTCGCAGCGACCCGAAGCTCTTCGCAGATGAAATTTTGGAGCATACCATTCCTAACCTCAATCTAATCCACGCCTTCCAGCCTCTCATCGCAAGGAGCAAGGAGAAGAAGGCACTCTTCATAACCTCCGACTTGGGTTCCCTCACGGGTGCCCCAATAAGACCCAACCTCGCCACACCTTACTGCGTCGGCAAAGCCGCGCTCAATATGTGAGTTCGAGGTTGATACGTACGTATTCATATTTAACATTCATGTTCTCAGGCTCGTTCGAAAATGGGGTGCAGCAGTCAAGGATAAAGGCATCATCCCCGTCCTCGTTCACCCCGGATGGGTGGCTACCGACCTTGGCTTGGGAATCGATTCTTGGGTTCAGCAGCACTTCCCGGGACTGAAGCCCATTACGACTGAGCAGAGTGCTGCGGGTGTTTTGAAGATCATTCAGGAAGCAAGGTTGCAGGATAGTGCTCCTTACCTAAACTATGATGGGGCAGTCATACCTTGGTAGAAATTGGCACGCTCTATGCTATAGTCGTCTCTTGGTGCAATTACTACTAGTGCAGCGAACCAGGAGGCTGAATACGCATAAGTACGCAGATAATCCGAGTCCGAGTCGTTTGTAGCACTGCGCTGAACGGCCAAGATAATATACTATACATCAACACTAACGTGGACATGTGCCCCATGGCTGAGTTGGTTACAGCGTCCGACTGTTATTCACCGCTTGCGGTCTGACATCGGAAGGTCGTGAGTTCGAGCCTCACTGGGGCAGCAATTGTCAGATGATGACAACTTTTTTGCCCAATTTTTTTTTCCCTCTATGTATTAAACTGCGTACTACTAAGTACATGAGCAGTGTGTTTATTAGCAAATGCCCCTTGCCTGAGGGTGGAATAAAGGTGTTTCCGACTTCCTGGCCCCGACTGGTTTGCTATAGAGTACCGCTATCAGTGCCAGGTGGCCGCAAACGGTTCAGCAGTTTGTGAGCAACCACGGAAGCATCGTAAGTGTTGAAAAACTCCCTCGTGTCTCCGTTGTGGCTCTCGCACAATCGTCGATATAGCGCCACCTTTATTACGGTGTGTGCTGTTACAATTTTTCTTCTTTATCGATGACATATTACTATTTGGGCGGTACTAGATGCCACGACTAGATCTATGCCTTCCTTTTTTATCTATTCTCTCGATCTTGGACGATAACCGGTCTCTATCGTAACTATGGGCTCTAGCCGTTGCCATGCACCGTTATTGTTGACTATACTTTCCATTTCTAAACTATTCCCGCGATCTTGGACGATATTGAACATTGTATTGTTTGTACTACTATTGTTTGTGTTGCCTTGACGACACAGGAGGGGAGAGGTCTTATTGTTCCTACTTGTATATATACTACCGTACATTGTAGTAGACACGCCAACTTGGCCTACGAGTAATCTACCTCGTTAACTCTCAACTAGAACCCCATTCTCGACTTTGAACTCGATCCCCAGGAGAGGAATAGCAGCCTTCGGTACAGGCTTGGAACTAGGACCCGGTGTAAGGGTGCTGGACTACCGCGCTCAAACACCTTACGCCAAAAGGCAGCGTAATCAGATTCTGCTATATCTGATCTCCGGCAGTATATGTACTGGTTATGGGAACCCAGGTAACCCAATCGGGTTACACTCGGACCCAGAACACTTGAACTTTTCGTTAACGAGCTTCGCTCGTAACAAAAGGCCAAGTTCCCCTATCCCGAGGTGTATCCATTGACACCTCACACACGAACTACCAGTCCTACCCCACTGTGTCACCCGGTATTGGGGGTGACAAACCACAGACACCATTGCACCCAACAATAGCTTTCAAC